TTCACAATGGTAATCAAGCTGCTGTAATTTTATTGAATAAATCAAGTAACGAATCTGTTCGCATTTGGAAGAAACAAACATGTTGTTTTTGATACAAGATAATCTTATTAATTACAAAGTTTGCTCTTGGTACATCTCATTTTATGCTCACGGACAACATAACTTTTGGTGATAAACTTGATGGTTTAAAAACAACAAATGCTTGCCCAGAATAAAGGAAATCGCTTCTCTGCAACATAAATTTTTAAAAATTTTCTGGGGGGGCATGCCCCCAGACCCCCCTGTAACTTAACACTATCCTAGCGAAACACGAACAGTTCTAATAAGTCAAGTCATATCAAAGTCTTTAAACTTCTCTGGCAACTTCTTATGACGAACAGTTCTTGTAGGTGCAGCAATCTTTGCTTTTCCACAATCCGTCTCAAGGTCTGTATGGTCTGGTCCTGCGTCGACAGCATTCTCTGCAGCAGGAGGATCAACAGCTTCAGCCTCATACTAACAATACGAGGATGCCCTTCGTGTGCTAGCGTAAGGACTCAGGATCTCAACTTGCTGGGTATTACAATTCTGGTACCACGGAGGATTAGCTTGCAAATCACACACAGTTCACTGGCTACAGGTATGTACTGCTTGAGCTGGTCGTTCCTCCAGGTTCCCCTCATTATACAGTTACGCAACTCACTGAATTCTTCATCTTCTGCTGATGCTTCTTCAATCTCGTGTGTGGTCATCGACCCTGGAGTGGAAGTTACTGCTACAAATCGGACAAATACATCTGATACTTTGTGCGCTACCGTTGAATCAACTTGGTTCAAGCGAAAACAAGCATTATCATAAAGGGAAGAAGACATCGGGTGAGCCTGGAAACAAAACATGTTATCGATGCGGCAACACAGGACACTTTGGACGAGACCCTGAATGCCCCGCGAAAGGAAAAACCTGCAGGTCATGTGGTGGTGCTGATCATTTTTCTTCGCAATGCAGAAGCAAGGAGCGTAAACGTAGAGGCGATAAGAAGCCAAAAGAGAAATCTAATCCTCCGTGGTACCAGAATTGTAACACCCAGCAAGTTGAGATCCTGAGTCCTTACGCTAGCACACGAAGGGCATCCTGGTATTGTTAGTATGAGGCTGAGGCTGAGGCTGTTGATCCTCCTGTTGCAGAGAATGCTGTCGACGCAGGACCAGACCATACAGACCTTGAGACGGATTGTGGAAAAGCAAAGATTGCTGCACCTACAAGACCTGTTCGTCATAAGAAGTTGCCAGAGAAGTTTAAAGACTTTGATATGACTTGACTTATTAGAACTGTTCGTGTTTCGCTAGGATAGTGTTAAGTTACTTCGCTTTCTTTATTATTGAACTGTGAACTGCGTTCATCCTTGCGGAGTTGAGGTTTATATTTGGGACAACTACTAAGTTTGCTCTGATTTGTTCTTGTAGCTGTTAAGTATGTTTATGTTTCCCATGTGTTGTTCCAAAAAGGGGAGGGATGTAGTGTACTTTCAGTATAGCTTACATGATGTATCTAGCCGCACAAAGGTTGATGGGATTGATTATTAAAAGCATGGCGGATTAGATTCGGAGTGTTTCTGGTGCAGCTTGATAATCCGTGTGAATCGGTTTCAATACGCAATTAAGACAAGACATCAAGTTTACTGTGTCATTGACTTTAAGAAGGCTCCCTTCACTCCTGAATTAATATGGCTACTGTCTGTATGTTCTAATGTGTTTAATTTGCCTCAATAGTGTGCAGGGGCCACTGTCGATATACAAAATAGGCCACACCCATGTTAGGTATTGTTGTACACTGCCTTCATTTTGTACTATATCATACCCTTTTCTCGACACAGTTTATCACAATAGTGTGGAGGGGTTATTATTGTTAGCCTCGTTGCCTCTTACTTGGGTAGGATAAATGTCAGTGGCTACTCCTCGCATACAGTCATGGTATAATTCTGAATGCCACTTTCACTCTGATCTTTCCAATAGTGTGCCGCGGCCACTATTCAGATTATTTCAGGTGATTGTTTAGGGTACTCTTCCTCAATATTGTGCAGGGGCCACTGTTGACATAAACTGGGCAATACTCATGTTCGTTCTTGTCTTATAATATTGTATTCCTTATAAAGACATACTCCTGTTGTATTAGCCCTATTGTATCCATAGTATCCAGGGGCCACTATTGTTATGTAGGGTTGCCATTTTGGCTTAGTATGAATAGTGTTCATTAGCTACAAATAGAATTCGCTTACTGTTGTATGTATAATTTGGCAACATTTCATTTCGATTATAAAAAAAAATTAAACATTGACAACCCGCAGTTAGCATAGCTAATTGAGGCCGGTTGTCAGAAATAAGAGCAAAAATTAACATGGCATGGCATTGGCATCACATTTCTAGTACGATGTTTTCAATTGTGTGCAGGGGCCACAATTGTGATTATGCTGTGGAATTGTTTAGCTGCTTCAGTCATTTGCTTTTATAGAACATAGATTTGTTCACAGAGCCAACAGTTTTCCTTATGTTGGGCATATTTGTGCCCACTAATGTTAGTTTGTGATTTTTGCACACCATTGTTTGGGCTTAGGTGGGGCTGTTTCACTTTACCCAAGAGACGATACCGAAGTAACCTTGAAGAGTAACATCGATGATATTGAAGAAGCACTCATGAATGTACTGCAGGCAATACTTAAGTACAACACACAGAACAAAAATATCACAGGAATTGTGGCGTTCAAAGAAGAAGAAGAGTAAAAGAACCCTTATATTGTTTATTGTTATAACGATATATTGTGGCCTAAATGATTGACACTGAATGTTATGGACAATAAACAGATGCCACTGTATAGGACCACGTACCAATAAAACATTTCACTTTAAAAATTGCCCTTCATCTCCTAGACTAGTATTTCGTCTTTCTCCCCCCCATCACCGGAGAATATATCCAAATATCTGTCTAATTTGTCATTCCAGAAACTATCCACACTCCCCCTTCCCCCCACAGAAGGGATTGACAATTCCAAGGAAAAGGGGCGAGGCAAAGAATATTTCTAGCAATGTATGAAGGTGAATTGGAATTTCCACAGGGGAGGGTGCCATAACACAAATCTTTTGTACGAACGTAGAGAAATTTTCTGGAAATAACAATCCCAACAAACGTAGCTTTATCCTCTTTGAAGCAAGTTAAAGGTGTTCACATAAGGACGAAACATTGATAGCCACACATTTGGGTTACAACAAAGAAATGAAAACGGCGATAACTGACTGCTACAAAAGGTAACCGTTCAAGTTGCCCGAAAGTCGTCTCGCCCAAAATCCTAAATCAGGTCGCCCGAAATTTTATCAAGTATAAACTTGAAGAAAAGTAACATCTTAAGTAAATCTCAAGGAATAAACTCGTAAAATGTTGTGTCCACTAACCTATGCAAATATGAAGTTAAACAAAGACTGAAGTATAGCTGTTCATTTCAGCATTGTTCATTGCTATGAACTAAACTGGTCATTCTACAGAACAGATACTAGTAATTATAAGCGGAACACTTTCAGTTATCAGAATTTTTCACACATATCAGAAAAATACATCAAGTTCTCATAGTATAATTTATCATATAAAAAAAAAACCTGAGACTTTTACAGCAGTTTTTGTTTTTTATTGTTAATTACGCGAACAAAGCATGTTAGCATCATTCCCCTGAGGATCAGACGCGGCATAAATTATCGTGACTTTTCACTTGTTTCCTCAATTATCCTTCTTCTCTTGCAGAATCGAACGAAGTGACCAGGCCCCCCCCCCCCTGCTGAGACTACAAGAACCGACTTTGCTCAAGGTAAGGAAATTTTAAGTCTGTTTGTCCCTGAAATAATTTTATTCTCAAATGACAACTTAACCTTTCTAGTTCAAGTCTTATCTTGAACGTTTTTTTCCTTAAACGAGTTTACGATAAAAATGCGGTTTTATTTTTGCTTTGCAGATCTTTCTCCAGAGTATCCGCTCCCTAGCAACATCAGCCAGTCAATGAATAATTACTCTGGTGAGTAAAAAATATTATTACCTTAAACTTTCCTCATCTGGAATTCAGTAGTAAACTCAACCAGTATAAGGAACGAACTTTAAAACTTACTTCCTCCATGGGTGCTACCCCTATCAGTATCAGTTCAGTCGTAGAATGATTGACCGTAAGAAGCTTAATTAACGTTAACTAGAACATTTCCACCTAGATGAGTTGGTACTGATGAGTTTATACTGATGTGTGCTTTTCTACTCTTGCTTTAGAAATCACACCAGATTATCTGCAGCCTGATGAACAAGAATCACTACAATCAACGATGAATGAGAGTTTCTCAAATAAATCTTGATTACTTCGGTAAACCTCCAATGTGTAGCTTTCCAAAATACGAGTACAATATTTCAAGCCTCATGCCAAATCTTCTTACAGACTTAAGTTGATGGCAGACTCTGTTTTTCTTTTTTAAGAAACGGTCCAGATAAGAACGATAGCAACAACGGCAACGAACATGTTGGAATGCAAAAAGAGTGCTAACTTTTCTATTGTCTGTACTTACTTCTGATTGGCTTAAACAGCAAAAGTTAACAAACCTTTATAAAGTGGTACATATATTCATCCTTACTTTCCAACCATCTTCCATATAACAAAATCTGGTCTCAGTTTGAATAACAAAGAAATCCTGTGTGGGGAACATGTAAAACTGTACTTTTCTTGGCTATTGTTTTCAACTCTTGTGATTGGTCAAAATCTTTTAACACAAAAAAAAACCCTTTCAAAGTGGAGTGTAAATGCATTTTATTGCGTAAACGGCCTTCATGTAGGTTTATGCATTCTCTGTGTAAAAATGAGAACATTCCTAAGTGGGGAAAGCACCGTTGCCGCATAACAAAAGAAATTGCTATCCACCTTACCCGGATCATTACTTAAAAAATCAGATTTGCCGTCGTCTTTCGATTTTTCATTATTTGTCACTATTTTTCTGCCGGTATGTATGCTCATGGCACTACCTCACCTGCCCCACCAAGTAATTCCGGTGAGTTTCCAGCGGCTGAAGTTGCAAGAGACCACCCCCATGCTTCACGAGTTGGTAGACTATGTACACAACCAATGGATCAACACCAACACTTTTCCACCCAGATCCTGGAGTGTCCACGGACAGCCTGTCTGTACCAATAATGACATCGAGGGATGGCACAACTCCCTCGACCGACGTGCTGGTGGTAGAGTCATCTACCTTTCTACCTACTGGTCCAGCTGCTCCATGGAGAGTCCTCTGTGTGCACTGTCCAAGTTCAACTCGTCAATGCCAGAAAACTTCAAAGGATCCAGGATAAAAAATATCGTGCACTTCAAGCAAGAATCTTTGGCTACTGGGAAGACAATGCTGCCAGTAAAATTTCAAGTTGGCGACTTCTTAAAGCATGCTCTTACTTAGCACATGGACCAGTTCGTACAGATTAGTTTTCTTTAGTTTTTGCTCGCATTAAGGAAAGTAAAATATTATTATTATTATTATAGCTTAAATGGGATAGTTTATTTTATCACGATATAAAAAAAATCATAGGATCTCCCTTCAGCCTCATGGGCTATTGACTCAGAGCCCATTTGGGCTCAAGGAATAATTGTTAATTATTGTTCTAGTGGAAAAGGAATAAATTATTCGATTACGAAATAAAAATTCAGATACAGGATCTCGCTAATTTTTCTGCCAGCTAGGGATATCGCTAGGTTTGTTTACTACAAATATTACTCAGGGTTGTTTTTCAAGGGGCAGGTGTCAGTTGGACGACCCACTCGTCCCCGCGTGTCATAAGTATTTTTTTTGTTGTTGTAAATTTTGTAATGTTTGTATGTTTCGATCTGTATGTTGTTTGTACTATACTTGTAAAAAGAAAATAAATAAATAAAATACAAAAAAAAAAATAAAAAAATAAGTATTTTTTTATCAAGAACTTACCTTAAGTTGGCATTTGAATTTGTTTTCAAGAGGCGGGTGTCACTTGGACAACCCACACGTCCTTGCGTGTAATTTGGTTTAGTTGCTAGTAATAAATGTTTGTTTCAATGCGTCTCTGAATTTACCGCAACATCACAACCTTGCTTAACAACCATGTGATGATTCTTGAGTATGTGCTGTAGTCAAGATGGCGGCATTTTCCAACGTTCCAATTGTAGTGATGTGGACCTTCTTTCAAAACAGTATGCTTCAACATATAAAACAACAACAGTAAGAACCATACTGTAGATGCTATTACTAGTTTTTTTCATTTTCGTGTTTTATTTTAGGATTACTTTCTTGTGATATCAAACAACAGTGAAACCAACCTCAGTTTCACAGTTTCATATTTCACTCTCACTAGCAATCTTTTTTAGCGTTATGAAATTTCAGGCGACATGACTTCGCGAGAGATGACTTTTGGGCGACTTGACCATAAACTGCTGGAAAAGGGATCGTGTTGTTGATTTAAGATTGAAAGTTAAGTGCAATCAGTCACAACCTTTTCTGATAAGTAGAAAACTAGTGAGGCAAAATTCAATGAAAACCCGCAGAATCTAGATTCACACAGCAAAAATGGAACATAAAACTACAAACAGAGCGAAAATGTCCAATAAATGGTGCATAAACGCAACATTTCAGTACTTACAGCGTGGTTATAAAGCTAGTGAAGCAACATAAGGAGCCACCTGTTTTGCTTTACTTTAGCAGTTTTCCTGGCTGACTTGATTCTCCCTTCAGATTTTTTGTCTGAATAATAAATAACTAAATAAATAAGTTTTCAAGCTAATGCTAATAATAGCGCAAGTTTCAAGATGAAAACGGTTTGAAAACGATGGGTTTTGCTCATTCACAAACAACACACAATCTGAATGAAGCTCCCAACGATTCCGCCCGCGCTAGTGGGCTAGATCGTAAAATCTTGCCCGCTATTGGAATCAATCAGATTGCAGGATTTGGAGGATTCTGCCTCCTTGCAAGCTTGGAAAAAAATAAACTAGAACATTTGCAGTAATTGCTACAATCCATCTGCCTGCAGTCTCAACTTTTCTCACATATGTAACAGCTCTTGTGTGTCTGGAATGCAAGGTGGCAAGATAACTAAGTTATGTACCATTAATGGAGCTTCTGACGCATGACTTGAGTGAAACATTAGACTGTTTGTCCTTGGCAAGTAGTAATGGTCTTATGTAGGGTCAGACAGTGAAACAGGAAACAAAAAGCTTTTCAAATATTGAACAAAAACCTTGAAAAACGTGTTAACATTTTCTACGTGGCGATGTTAAGCATTGTCACGGATTGTCCATGTGTCGAGAAGAGCATGAAGGCGGCTTTTTCTAATAAATAGCTAAGATGAGAGAATCGACTTTGGTGTTCTAAGAACTCGGAAAAATCTCTGTAATAAAGCCACAAATGATTGTTTGACAACAACTACTGGATGGGGCAGTTGTGACAGCACTTGTCCCCCACCAATGTGGTTAAAATCCGGCATTGACACCATATATGGTGTGTTTGTTGTTGGTTCTCTCCCTTGCTGAGAGGTTTTCTCCAGATAGACAGGTTTTCCACTGTTTATAAACCAACAGCTCCAAATTCCAATTTGATCTGGAATGCACTAATTGCTTAGTTGATAACCTGAGTCTCAGGCTTTCTTGTTTTTTCGTTTTTTTCTTGGGAATAACGAGGAAGAGAGAGAAGAAAGCCTGACACAGCTGTTTTGTTTTCAGCCTTCCAACCCCTTGAATTCCCATACCCAAGTTTGCAAAATAGTAGCTACTCAAAATTGCTTCTGCTCGTGTGTTTTTTTGCAATGTTTTCGCAGGCTACAAGAACTGTAGCAGAAAAATTAATGAGCGAGTTTGCAAATTGGACTTTGCTGTTGTATGGAAGAAGGACAGTTTTGTCAAATATGCCACGCAATCTTTTCTTAGACAGCTTCCCTGAATAAATCCATCAGCTGCAGCTTCTGTCTCTTTTTCAAGATACTAATAACCAAGAATTTGCAAATGTCTTAGGTGGTACACCAGTCGTACTGGGGAAGTTGCTCCAAAGTATTGGCATCTTTGTCATGCTGAGTAATGGAGATTCTGTATGCAAGAAATGTGCTTGCAAGGTTTTACATTGTGTTTAGTTGTATTAAGAACTGCAAGCTTCTACTGGAAACACAATACTTCAAACAACTCGGAAACTTAATTAGGCCTTGTTTTTTCCATTGTTTTTTTATTCACCCAATTCTGTTTATGGCCTGGCTGAGATAACCAGGTGCCAAAGGTCTGCTCAGATGAGGCGCAGATGCTGATAGCGAGACTGGCACCAACTGTGCATGTACATATGTTGAAGAATGGATGTATCACTTCAAAGGGACATTGTATTGCTTTCCCTCAGGCTGTACAGGAACCAGCAACTATTCTCCCACTTCTGCCAGCAGAGGTGGATATCATAGGTGTGAAGAGACAATAAAGAGATACCGTGTTGAAGGAGCTCTTCGTTGGCTAAAGGACAATAATAGTGCTTACAGTAACATTGCTATTGATGTTGCCCACATACACAATCTACCAGAAGATGGTGAGTTGCCTAATTTGAGAACCATTGAGTTTTCTAAAACAGCATGTGGATGACCAAGGCCCCTCTACGCAGCAATTGGATGCTGTTAAAACTGACGGTAATGATGACTCAACAGTTTCTAGTATCATTCTTGCTGAGCCAGGAGTTAACGTACAAGCACAAGTCGAGGCAGCCATAAATTAAGTTGTGACTGAACTGCAAGAAGTTGAAACAGAAGAGGCACAACAACGACCAGTAATCCCTTGGCTGAGTACGGACATGACACCAGCATCTGAATTGACCACTCCCTCGTCAAAATGGTTGTTATAATGAGGAGTATGCAGCTAGACTAAGCCAGTGGGCTGATGAAAACTTTGCCATGACAGCCTTACACTCAGCTGGCAGTGACGAAGAAGGACAACCAAGAAAAGACCTCTGCCTACCACCTGAGGGTTCGGACAACTCGATATCAGAGGACAGGGATCGCCTGGGTAAAATGCTTATGAAAATGGCTGCAACACAAGGTAGAATACTGGAAGATCATTAGCTTCTAGTGAACCGGATTGGGCTGCACAGTTGTTCTGATCACTGCTTGAGGACTCCTTGTCTTCCTGAGCCCTAAATGTCTTCAAGCGTTGGATAGTGCTATCCACCGGATAAATCACTATCCAGCGTTTGAACAACCGGGGCCAGGTGGTAATAAGAATTCTCAGCAGGAGAAGTGGAATCGTTTTAAAAACAGTACGTTTTCTTCATGAATTTTATTTTAAATCATTTTATTCATGTGCTTCCATTCAAGAAATGAAGGTTATAGAAAGAGCTCACTATGTTTTCTATGGTTTTTGTATGAGTGTTCATCCTATTTTTTGTTTCCCTGAAGTCGCAATCATTTGTAAACAAACTTCTTAACATGAGTGTCATAATAAATTATAATCTTTTGTCAGTTATATTCTTATCAAATATTGGGCTTGGTGGTAACATTTGCTTGTCTTACATACCTGCATAATTAATTGCATAAACACCTTTTGGGCTTGTGGAGGATAAAGATAAATAAAGCTCAAAGGCTTTGCTGTCAGTCTTTCTGCTTTAATTACTGAATGACTTGATCAGTTGCGTTCATATTAGTGGCACTGGAAAGAAAGTGACTGGCGTAATTTTTGAATTTCTATTGTATTAATCTCTACATTATACTGTATTTTTTTAGATATCTTAGAGGAATGGAACAAGTACTTATAGTTGACCAATGATGAACTAGAGAAGAGAAGGCAGTTTCAGCGGATAGAAAGATAGAACTGAAAAACCACTAGAACAAAATTCTCAACTAATTGCGGAAAAACAGAACAGGTACTTTGAAATATATTGTGTCATTCAAGGAAACTATAGTGAGAGAAATGACGATAAAAAGATGGTACAGCACCATCAACGATACAAAATAAAAGGGGTATGGTGGCTAAGTGTGCTTAGAAGAAAAGTACATTGACATAGACAAATAATATCACGACCGGCTAGAAATGTGTTAACTACATAAATAAATGCAGGTACATTAAACAGATTTGCTTGTTAATAATAAATAGCATATGATTCAGCCGTAAAGTAAGGGAGACAGCTGTTTTGTCCAGGGAAATTCCAGGGGAGGGGGGTACTTGGGTTAATTTTTGCTAAGTATGTGCTGCTGGCCTCTCAGAGCCCCCTCCCCATTATAGTCTTATAGACCCTATCTTTGTCGCTTTCAGGCAAATATGTGATTTTGGCGATCCCAACTTCGTCATTTTCTTAGTTAATTACTTACAGGTATACCCTGGAACCTCGATATCAAGCTAAAATAAGTAAAAAAGCTAGCGGAACTGTCAAAATGTGTTTTCATATAAATAGTTAGATCTAAGCCCTTTTCCATG